ATCATTCTCTGTTTAAGTGAACATTTTTTTTTCATATTAATAAATGCCACTTTATGTTGTTTTAACCAAAGATATACTTCTACGAATAGTACCAAATAAATATGTTTTTAATCCAAAGAATAATTATTCGGCTCAAATAAATCGCCACAATCCCGAAGAAACGTCGCATGCAATTTATTCGACTTAATCTAAGCTAAATAATTATTCTTCAGATTAAGAATAATATTTCTTTGGTACCATTCAAAGAAATCCTTCTCTGGTTAAATGAACATTTCTCTCAGATTAATAAATACGGAAATATGGCGGAATCTTCCGCATGAAAAAGAAAAATTAAGAAAATAAAATCCGTATCGGGAGAATCGAGCTACAAAATTCGTCGATATAGTAAATCCAGCATCGATGGACCATATCACGGGACTGATAACCCGATAACGATACTCACCGCAGCGTGCATTTCTGGAATGCATCTGCAGGTGATTCGATTGCGATGTCCAGAATGCATAAACGTCCCGATGGATGGATGCCCAGGTGGAAATAAAAGAGGGAAAAAAAGGATAAAAAGAAAAAAAAAGAAAAAAACGGGGTAATGTCGGTTTGCAGTTGCTCGGAAAACGGCACGAAGAATGGCACGCTGCCTCCGGCGATGACGTTCACGCAGCATTCCTTGACGATGATCATCATCTACAGCATCGGATTCCTCGTAGCCGCGGTCGGCAACCTGACAGTCTTCATCAGCTTATCCCGCAGCCGGTACAGGAAGTCCAGAATTTCCCTGATGATCTGCCACCTGGCCGTTGCCGACCTCTTCGTCACCTTTTTTACGATCCCCATAGAGGTGAGCCCATTACGAGGCGAATAGGATCTTCCCGACCTATCCCAACCGCATGGATTGTCAAGGTGAAGTGAAACCCCCCTCAAATCAGTCGATTAGAAAAAAACACTTTTTTGAAGGGTATGGGATCGAACTATCACAATCTGCCTGACCTATCCAACTATATGAACTGTTAATGTGAAATGAAACTCCCCTCAAATCAGTCGATTTGAANAGTTAATAGTTAATAGTATTTATATAGTTAATAGTATAACCGAACGGTCTGAAAGTTACACAAAATTACAAGTACAAAGAAAATTCTTTAACTTAGAGCCGACCGGAACCAAAATGGCGTCGAGCTCTCATATTTCTCTCGATATCCAATTCTTGAAGGCTCTAATATGAGGAACGGAAGATGTCAGGACAATTGTACGACAATTAAGAACACTCTGGTAATCGATAAACTCGAATTTGAACGGGATAAAGGCAAAAAAGTGTCTTATGCACTTCTGTGCTAAACGAAGGTAACACGAGGTTTCAGAGAGAAAATTTAGTTGACACGGAAATCACAGATGGCGCAGGATGTCCCTCTGCACTCAATAAGGGCCTCAGAAAGCATGAATCCCGAGGATTTCTGGAGTTTTACTTCGATATCTTTATAATTATTGTACGAAAACGACATATGGATTATGCAAATTAGTAAAATACCCAATACAATTCGACACAGCTGTCAATATAAAAACCAACGTCGGCAGCGTATGTATTTAGAAGAATCTTCTTTACCGACGTCAATCAAGTTCCTCGACGTGTTTCACTTCAACTTAAAAGTAGTTAATGATCTTACTGGAGCAGTAACAATGTATGGTCATGTCCTCTCGATTAGTCAACCCGAGAAATAGACTAGACTAGATAGACCCACAGGCACAATGTCGCGCATCTTCCGTCGAGTTTGTTAACAAGAAATCCGTCTATTCTATGAAATTCTCCAGTTTATGAATTTAGTATTCCGCGAGGAAGTTGAAAAATGGATAATTTCGCCGTCACTAATATCGCGCCATCGGCAAACTGCGAATGTCTCGGTCTCAAACGAGTACAAATGCCAGCTTTATGTTCTTGTTGTCCGGCCTCGTCAAGGCTGACACGAGTTCACGAGATAATAAACCTCGGTTGAGTCACTCGACATGGTAGAGTGACTCTACGTTATTATTTCACGTCCAATGTCAACAATCCTCGAGTCCCTCGTGTGCAGATTAGGTAACATTAGTGTGGCTTTTATTTTAAAAGTATTAATTTTTATCGAGCTACCCCCAGTTTGGTTCTATTCCCTTTGGCTACCAAGAGCGCCTAAAGCCGCCCGACGTTTGGTCCAATATCGCCTGCACGGTCAGAGGAATTTCGCCCATATGTCGAAATGGCTCCGTGTTCAAAGGGTTAAGGGTATTGGATCGAACTATCACAATCTGCCTGACTGTATGAACTGTTAAGGTGAAGTGAAACCCCCCTCAAATCAGTCGATTTGAATAAGACACTTTTTTTAATCTTTGGCTACTAAGATCGCCTAAAGGCGCCCGACGTTTGGTCCAATATTGCCTGCACGGTCAGGGGAATTTCCCCCATATGTCGAAATGGCTCCGTGTTCAAAGGGTTAGGGGTATTGGATCGAACTATCACAATCTGCCTGACTGTATGAACTGTTAAGGTGAAGTGAAACCCCCCTCAAATCAGTCGATTTGAATAAGACACTTTTTTTAACTCTTTGGCTACTAAGATTGCCTAAAGGCGCCCGACGTTTGGTCCAATATCGCCTGCACGGTCAGAGGAATTTCATCCATATGTTGAATTGCCTCTGTATTCAAAGGGTTAAGGGTATTGGATCGAACTATCACAATCTACCTGCCTTATACAACTGTATGAACTGTTAAGGTGAAGTGATAACCCTCTAAAATCAGTCAATTCGAATAAGACACTTTTTTTAACGAAAATCTCTCCCTACCTCGTATAATCATATTTCATTCTAACTTATATTTCGGATTTAATTTCTAAATTTATATTCATCATCATCCTCTTACTTGTGGCGTGGAAAAGTCCAAACACACTGACGTACTCCGGCATTGTAAAACGGGAATAAAAATCGGCAGCCGATCCAGAAATAAATTAGAAAACACGTTTCGCACTACCGGGCTAAATATACTCCGACTTCTTTTTCTTTTCAATAGAATTCTTCACTGCATGATTTTCTTTTCTAGGGCGGGACCCCGGAGTGTCGAAAACTCCGAAGAAGCGAGCTCCTGGGACTAACGTGAATACGTGTGTCCGATAGAGTTTAGAACTTATCGTAGATATGGCGAGGAGATAAGATTGATTAAACACTCGCTCAACATGTCTCACGTGCGTGTGTTACTCGAGCGCCAGTCTTATTATCAATTTTATCCGAACAGATTGTAGGTATTATGTCGAATAAATTCCGCTCGATATAAACGAATGATAAATATTGCGTGGATTTTATTTCATTTTATTTAATTGTATAAACACTCATTCAACATGTCTCACATGCGTGTGTTCCTCAAGCATCGGTTTTATTATTAAGTTTATCCGAGCAGATTGTATTATGTCGAATAAATTCCGCTCGACATGAACGAATGATAAACATTGCGTCGATTTTATTTAATTTTATTTAATTGTATAAACACTCATTCAACATGTCTCACATGCGTGTGTTCCTCAAGCATCGGTTTTATTATTAAGTTTATCCGAGCAGATTATATTATGTTGAATAAATTCCGCTCACATAAACAAATGATAAACATTGCGTCGATTTTATTTAATTTTATTTAATTATATAAACACTCGCTCGACATGTCTCACGTGCATGTATTCCTCAAGCCCCGGTCTTATTATCAATATGAAGCTTTGTGGTCGCGCTCCAGTTCTTAAATATATTCACTCTTTTATTACTTTCTCGACAATGCTTCCCAAAGTATCATCCCGGAGTCATGTTGGAAATGTTAGTACCACTTTCGGAATGATATTTACATTCTTCAAAACTCCTTTTTACTAAAAATGATCGGATTAAAGATATCGAGTCGACTTTACTTTCACGAAAAACCAAAATGGCGTCGACCATGGTCGCGCTCCAATTCTTAAATATATTCAGTTTTTTACTATTTTCTCGGCAATGCTTTCCGTAGAATCTTTCCAGAATCATTTTGGAAATATTAGTGCCACTTTCGAAATAATCATTTATATTCTTCAAGACTCCTTTTTGCTTAAAATGATCGAATTAAAGATATCGAGTCGACTTTACTTTTACGCGAAACAAAAATGGCGTCGACCGTGGTCGGTTCATTCCTTAAATATATTCACTTTTTTACTATTTTCTCGGCAATGCTGCCCATAGTATCATCCCGGAGTCATGTTGGAAATGTTAGTACCACTTTCGGAATAATTAGGAATACTGGTTACCCATTTGTAGAGTACAGTATCCTCTTGGTTTTTAATCTCAGATTCGCGGCCGCTACGGTCTGATGCTCTACTGACGATTCTGCGCTTCCCCGAGGAGCAATTTCGCGACAGATCTTTTCATTGTACAGTAATCTTGACTGCATACATTGGACACCAGTTGGCACACATAGATTGTCATAACGTAGACTGTCCTATTTCTGTATAATGCATGTGTGCGTAATTCGATATTCTAATGATCAAAGGTGTTAAGTTTCATTACCAGTCGGTACCTATATTAGCATTCCAATGTGACCACACCATAGTCGGTCAGTTAATTTTTAAAGCAAGAAACCTTGCAAAACATACCTCTGAATGCATTTTAAATGTTCAACTTTCAAATACTACACATACGATACCCATAAAACGATAAAAGCGCACTTTAAAGTGCTATTTAAATAATTTCCTCGGAGATTACAGTACAAAGTACGTAGAGAGGGTCATATTTTCAGAACGAAACCTTTCAGACTGTATTTCTGTTGAGTTGCTTTGATTTTAGTTTATTACGCACGTCTGTTTTCTTTGGAAGAAGCGTTTTATCATTCATAGAGATTCAAATTTCCCCCCGCTGTTGAGGTTAGTTTCTAGCATGTCCGCAAGGAGCACTTCTGTTCTCGCTGGTTTACTTTCTTCCATCCTGTTATTAGACTTACTTCATGGCCGATTTTGACATAAGGACCGATTAGACGGCACAAAAAGCGTTAATAAATAATAAATATATATGGAATGTATGATATAAAAAATGGATAACGACACGCCGCTGATTTACGGGCTTGAGTTTCAAGTATGATTAATTGTTTGATTGCGGTGGATGGAAGCATATGTTTGTTTCCTAACCTATAAAATGTTTACAAGCAAAATTCGACACTTCGTTAAGCATCTCTCCTTGCTTACGACTCTTAAATAATGACATTGAATTATTATCCGGTTACATTGAAGATCTTATGATTGTTGTATTTTTAGTAAAAATATTCTCATCATTAGTAGTTGTTTAAAATGTGTAACAATTTTTCAGGCAAGAGCACTATCGGCTCAAACAGCTGAAACTGACATTGTAAGGTTTCTAGTGGGAACGCAGTCTCTGAAATTCCACAACAATCAAGTACATTTAGTTGAGCTTAATGACGAAACAGGGGGCTTAAAGACACAAGTGTTTCAACATTCCGTCGGAGAGATCTGGTCGCTGCAAGCTTCGCCTACGGATATAGACAAATTCATAACTTGTTACAATTATCTTAACGGTATGCACTTTTCAAACTTAACCTGCGATTTGTACTTCTTTCGACGACTAATCACACCATGAACTTAAGTTTCATTATTAGAAATCTCATTCTTTGAATTATATCGATTGTAAAACTTGTCCGAGGGTAGATGAAGGAATCTGTCAAATGAAGGGCGCTTTGTGGAAGATGCCAGAGATGAAAGAATATACAAATGACATCGTTAAGTTGGAGAAATTAGATGATTTAGATACGACATCTTATGGAAACGATTTAAAAACAATTGCGTACCATCCAATGGATGGTACCAAGGTCGTTTCGGTTGTTGACAATAATTTTGTTCTTTGGGATTTAACGGACAGTAAATGCCAGGTATCTGTCCCCTTTTTTTAAATTCTTATTAATATCGCACATACTTTCGTTTATAAAATTATGTTATACTTGTATGCTAATATCGGTAAATGTTTGTAATAATTTAAATAGCCAAGGTTTGTATGAAACTTATGAACCACATAATACATAGGTCGTTACTGTAGGCACCTTGTCAGGCAAGGGTCAACCTCGTTTCACAAACGGCAAGTGGAATCCTCATAATGGATGCAATCAGTTTGTCACGTTAAACGAGACTAATGTGCGAGGATGGGATTTCAGATGCCCATCGGAAACAGCGTGGATAATTCAGCCAGCACACTCGCAGATCGTAAGGTTAATCTCAGTTGTATTACGATTCTATACTCAGGAAGAATTGTGCATCGAGTGAAAATTTAAATAACATCAAAATAGCTGCGTATTAATTTGTTGTCCTGTCGGCATAACAAACGTCAGCAAGACAACAAATTTATACTCTCTCACTTGGAAACCAATTTGTATGTAAGGAATAACAGTAGCGGAAGTTTCAAGACTTTAACATTGAATAGTACATGTTTGTATAGACACTCAGTCGTAACAAGAAGTGTTAACGATTTCTTTCAGGGATTTGGACTTTAATGCAAATCGACAGTATTTCTTGTCGACATGTGGAGATGATGGCTATATGAAGTTCTGGGATATTCGATCACCCTCAGATCCTATCGTGTCTCGAATGGAACATTCTCATTGGGTTTGGAATATTCGGATCAATAGATTCCACGATCAGTTGGTGTTAACTTCGAGTAGCGATTCGAGAGTAATACTTTGCAGTATTGCTTCTATTTCCTCGGAACCTTTCGGACATATTGTTCCAACCGAGGATAGCGAAGATCCTAGTCAAGCAGAAGAAAGTTCTAAAGAGAAGTATGTAAAGTTAAAAAAATGTGGAAGGTTACATGTTGCTTTCATTTGGTAAATTGCCAAATGACTAATTTAATATTTTTCTTCTATAAATTAGCAATATCTAATTTTTCAATAAGCTTTAGAACTAAAAAGTTATGAGCTATTTTATAAACTCATTCTCGCAATCTTTCAGATTGGAAGACGGAGTTGTCGGAAGGTATGAAGAACACGAAGATAGTGTTTATGCCGTTGAATGGTCTTCGGCAGATCCATGGACCTTCGCATCGCTCAGTTATGATGGTCGATTAGTGCTTAATAAAGTTCCACGTAAATATAAATATCAGATACTTTTATAATGTAGGCTTATAGTAAATTTTATATATTAAACAATTAAAGGAAGATTCTATGGAGCTATTTAATAAATAAGTGGTTTCTATTGAAGTCTCTTAATACTTCCGTCAAAAATCAAACAGGCCATATTGAGTAGAACATGGTTATATTTTTATTACGACATATTCGTAGAAAAACTGATTAACGAACACTGATGAAATATGAAACAAATTATTTCTTATTTTATTATCAAATTTTATTTACAAACGTTCTGATATTCTACCTGCTACGTTTCTCAACTGTCCATAAACTTTTGACGGTGGACTACCGAGTATCAAATTACAAATAGCTCTCCTCGCAAGTTGAATGTTTTGATACGAGCCAAGAATGTGGATTTTGCTATCAGCTAGTACAATTCTAGTTTTTGTCACATTTTCTATCGTGAATTTTGTTCTTCCTCCTTTACCTGCCAATCTTCCGATCGCTCTAGATGTATGGTCACCTTTCAGAGGTTTGACATCTTGTATTTCAAATGTTTCGATAAACAAATCATCTAATCTTAGCAGGGCCAATGCATCTTCTACTTCAAATCCATAGATGAATGCTTTTACAAAGTCAGCGCCTTTTTGAAGATTGGCTATATCCGAAGTCTCTGGTCCTGTGCGGAGCTCGACGTTTCGAGTTTTTAGGTTAAAGCGAATCTGCAACTGCAAGTGTTCTACTAGAGGTGTAAAAATTTTCATCCAATTCTCCTTTAGTGGTGTATATCTATGTGCCGGGACAGGTACCTAAAAATTAAATGAAACGTTAACAATTGTTAGCTTTTTAACAATAGTACAAACGAACAAGGAAATATATCATCTGTAAGGTGCACTCATGTTTTACATGACTACGATATTCATTTGTCGCTTTTAATAGATAGGAATAAAGGGTGATACTATAGTAGCATTTCGTAGTTAAATGGTTAAAACGTTCCTAAATATTTGATAAAAGTGAAAATGAATAGATAACTATTACAAACCACATCGATAGAACAGACGCTAAATACAGAACCACTCGAGTGAAACAATTTTAATATGGGATTTTCTAATTATATCAAATCTTATTGAAGGATAAAAATTCTCTTACTTTCCGTTGTTCCCCTTGGATGCCTCTCGCTCTTTTTGAAGCTGGCTTTACTTTTACCTTTCCCTCTATTCCTTGAACTGTATCTACCTTAAAGTATAATTTACGCTTTTAAATAATCCCGTAATGTGTAAATGAAAACGAAGACCGATAACGCCGATGGAATTTAACATAACCTTACTTCCATAACACTTTCATCGTTCTGCTTTCTTTTCGTCGGTTTTGCTTTTTCCGTTTCATGCGAATTTGAGGGTTCTGGCTTTTCGACATCAGGCGTGCCCATGTTGGATAAAATTTCTACACGTTTGTCGTATTACTCGATTAAATAATAATTACCACGTGCTGTTATAAACAACCGCTGAACGTAAAGCGACACGAAGTACAAATTCATGTACAGTAGCAACAAATATTTCAAATCAATTTTTATAAGTGCGCCATCTTGTGAGAACTATTAGAAGACACGGTGGTTCCACCAGGCCTCGGTTAAATAATTAATTACCTAACCGTAGGTTAAAGTTAACGTTTAAGTTAATCATGGATTAAAAACGTAAATAGTCTATTACCCTATTACGTAAAGCAAATGAATACGTGAGCCACCAACAGCAACTGGTAGATGGCACAGCCATCGCGAGTGCGCGAGCCCCTACCAGAAATTCGTTGCGCCGCCTTTGGGGGCAAAAACGGTGAAAGCTAACGTACGAAACCAGAGGGTAGCACACGATGCCGATCGCGCGACCCTGCCCGTGAGCAATCTCCCAACTCATCTCTGTATAAAGTCATAACAAATGTCGGTAATAAAGTTCCATGACCGTTCGAATTCTGCGTACTTGATTCAAGATGGCTTAACAAGATGGCGGCGGCTGTCTCTCAGCGGCGCGCAGCTCCCCATCGAGCCGCCGCTAGTTCCCGCGGCGGCCGCCTCGCGAGGCCAGCGCCACCGGCGAACTACTTGTCGAAACCAATGATGGCCGCGACCCTCGAGATGTGTGTAGCGTCGGCGTTCGATCGCGCGTGTTTATTGTGAAAAACTACTCACAAGGGGCTCCGTTAACGTCGCCGGGTTCAAGGTAGGACCAGGAACGTGTTCTATTCCTAATTGAGCGAGAAATCGGCAGATTGACCTGCCAGGGAGAGAAATTTCAGGTACACTCCCCTCTTCCACTTGACAGCTCTCTCGTGGAGTGCTCGGAAATATTTCGCCTCCCTATTTATATCGTCTATGCGTGCGAAGATACTGCGCACGACGCAAGGGGCCCAGCCGCAGGTGCCACTGGTCTAGGCAGGGAATTGGAGGCTCTTCCAGCCCGGAAAAAGGAGGAGAGACGCAAAGTTTAACGTGAGTTACGAGCCTAGTATCTATAGCGATTCAGGTGCGCACCGGCAAGGCAGGTTAGGTGAGTCTTGCCGTGTCACGGGCTTTCAAAAAGGAACATCGTTTCGCTTCCTTTTATTCCCTTTACCTCCTCTTTCTTCCTACGTATGGTTTTCTCAAAGAGCAAAGGTATATTGTAGTTAGCGAAGAGCAATTTAACTTGCCAGTACTTCTTGTTTGAGATATTAAAAATGTATATCTGGTAATTGTGGTTCCAAAGCGAGTCCTCCGAGATATGGATGAAATATCTTCCGAGCCCTGGATCGGAAAGAGGAATTTTTATTCGTAAGGTTTTAAAGATACTAGTGAAATATTTATCGTACTAATTGAGGTTAGTAGGGGATATTTAGTATCCTTGATCTAGGGGGAGAATTGGAGGCTCTTCGAGCCTGGAAAAAGGAGGCGAGACACAAAGTTTAACGTGAGTTACGAGCCTCGTATCTATAGTGATTCAGGTGCGCACCTGCAAGGCAGGTTAGATGAGTCTTGCCTTGTCACAGGCTTTCAAAAAGGAACATCGTTTCGCTTTCTTTTATTCCATTTACCTCCTCTTTTTTCCTATGTATGAATTTCTCGACGAGCAAAAGCATATTGTTAACGAACAGCAATTTAACCTGCCGATGCTGAAAGTATAAGATATCTATTATTAATTAATGCTTCTTGTCTGAGATATTAAAAATGTATATCTGTTAATTGTGGTTCCAAAGCGAGTCCTCCGATATATGATATAAAAGTCAGCCTGTATACATCTGTCAAATCGTTGGGGAAACTATTCTCCTAATTGGGTGTACCGATTCGTTTGAAATTGTACCACGTGAATGTGGAGGCCCCAAAGTAGGTCCTGAAACTCATGAAATTTCATGTTTCATAATAAATTTATTTACTTATCATGGACTAGAACCAACATGCATGGTTTACGTTTTTGATGTTTCACGCCTCTTGGAGGCTTAGAATCGGAAATAAAGAGTTTCAGGACCTAGCTCGAGCAATTTAGAATACCGTAGAAATGGAATATTACAGAGTCGGATGGGAAAATGTGGTAAATACTTTCACCAACGATTGCAAGAGAATGCTGGTTTGTCTCGCGGATAACGCGTGTTCTTAGAGGAAAAATTTAGTTGCAGCTAAACGTCACAGATGGCGACGTTGGTTCGTCAAGGTATAAACAGTCATGAATTCATGGGATTTCGGCAGTTTTGCATCGATCTTTTTACCATTACTTTACCGTAATGACATATAGAACCCTTCAGTTCGTATAATTCTCACCGTAGACTGTAAAAGACTTCAACGTAAATATTAATGTCGGTAACGGGACGCGCCAGCTTATGTTACCATTTGAGTATTAAAAATGGCACTAGGTAAATTTCACTAGGTTGAAAATCACGCGCCAATAACACATTCGCGACCGCTGACGTGAATTCACGTCTTTTTCAAATTCTATTCCTCTTTGCCGCTGACGTGAATTCACGTCTTCTCAAGTTCTACCCCTCATTGCCGGTGACGTGAATTCACGTCTTTTTCAAAATCTATCTCTGATTGCCGCTGACGTGAATTCACGTCCATGACGACACACGATACAAGTTTGCGGCAACCACTTACAGAATTTCATTATTTTTGCCGGTACTCAGTATTTGAAACGGAAGAAAATTTGCCGCTCGCGAATGGGTTAATAGTGAATGCTTAAGAGAACCGGCAGTACGATTTAATTGCGGGGACTCGGTAGGCTCTTACACTGCCCCTCCCCCTCCCCCTCGTCCGCAAGTTTGCACATATTTCCTTCGGAGGCTTGGAAATAAAAACGCGTCTCGAGCGCCACTCGGGGAATGCAATTGCATCAGTGCCCCTCGAGTCGGCTGACCTTTGAGGAGAATCATCCGCGGGAAGAGCTCTCCTTCCCCCCTCCCCTTTGATTTCCCAAGGACGGCCATGCCGCTGAAGGAGTATCGCGCAAATCGTTACGCAATTGTCTATGGAACGCGGAAAAACTCCCCGGTGGGGGGATCTTCCCCCTTTAGTATCAGGGACATCCGAACGGTCGTGACTAAACAATTGCCGCAATCAGGAAACTCCAGAGAGAGTTTCCCCACTAACTGGGTTGAGCTGATTTAACCCTTTGAACATGGAGCCATCTCGACGTATGGGCGAAATTCGTATGACCGTGCAGGCGATATTGGACCAAACGTCGGGCGCCTTTAGGCGCTCTTAGTTGCCTAAGATTAAAAATAGTGTCTTATTCAAATCGACTGATTTGAGCGGGTTTTATTTCACATTAACAGTTCATACAGTTGGATAGGTCAGGTAGGTTGTGATAGTTTGATCCAATACCCTTAATCCTTTGAACATGGAGCCATCTCGGCGTATGGGCGAAGTTCGTATGACCGTGCAGGCGATATTGGACCAAACGTCGGGCACCTTTAGGCGCTCTTAGTAGCCTAAGATTAAAATAAGTGTCTTATTCAAATCGACTGATTTGAGGGGGTTTTATTTCACATACAGTTGGATAGGTCAGGCAGGTTGTGATAGTTCGATCCAATACCCTTAACCCTTTGAACATGGAGCCATCTCGACGTATGGGCGAAATTCGTCTGACCGTGCAGGGGATATTGGACCAAACGTCGGTCGCCTTTAGGTGCTCCTAGTAGCCGTAGGGTTAAAAAAAGTGTCTTATTCGAATCGACTGATTGTAGGGGGGTTTCACTCCACCTTAACAGTTCATACAGTTCGAAATAAAAGCATGAAAAAATTGGAAAGCATTAGTGGTCTCATAATATTAGGCCTTACGTAAATATTAAGCGTAATTCAAGGTTAGAATCGGCACCGCGGTTTGCAAATGTAATTTCGCCGTGCAAAGTGTTAGGTTAGGTTGTGTTAGGTTACGTTAGGTTAGGTACGTTCTATTATCACGTCGATCGCGCAGGTTAGACCGGTTCGGCTAATCCGGTACAACCTATTTTGCACTTATACTAGCCCATTCGCGCATGCGCACTAAGCGGGCCACGAGTGCGCGCGTTTTGCATTTGCATTTCCATTTGCACGTGCAAATGTGGACCCAATGGTGTCGTTACAAGCGCCCGGCGCGTAAAACGTATATTATTCGGAAATTATAGCCCGACATATGTGCCGGTAATGACGAAGGTGGTATAATTTCAATTTAAAGGTGTAAAATAAAAGACAAATTAATTCATCCCTTAATTCCCGTTGTATACATTTAGATTGGAATTTCAATGAACTCAGTGCTCTGTCTAGAAAATATTGGGTTGATGGCATAAGTAATGGCGGTTGTTTTTACACATAACATGACATATATAAAAAGAGAAAAAAAACGCCATTACTTATGCTTCAATGTAATAGAAAATGGCATTTCACATTTTCGATACCTGTTTCAAACGGCTTCGATCAAGGTATTATAATTACCCAATTATTATAGTTACCCAAAATATTATGGTTCCCCTCTGACCGTATCGATCAATCGAACGCTTCGATCGAGCCGGCTCGATCTCGAATTTCCAAGGCGGCCGAGGAAGGAGACGCGCCTCGCGAGAGAATAAGTGATAATAAGAGAGATTAACACATTCACGACCGCTGACGTGAATTCACGTCTTTTCAAGTTCTGCCCCTGGTTGCCGCTGACGTGAATTCACGTCATTTTAAAATTCTATACCTCATTGCCGCTGACGTGAATTCACGTCAATTTAAATTCTATACCTGATTGCCGCCGACGTGAATTCACGTCTTCTCAAGTTCTATTCCTGATTTCCCGCTGACGTGAATTCACGTCATTTAAAAATTTTATACCTGATTGCCGCCGACGTGAATTCACGTCTTCTCAAGTTCTATTCCTGATTTCCCGCTGACGTGAATTCACGTCATTTAAAAATTTTATACCTGATTGCCGCCGACGTGAATTCACGTCTTCTCACGTTCTATTCCTGATTTCCCGCTGACGTGAATTCACGTCCATAACGATACACGATACAAGTTTGCGGCAACCAGTTGCAGAATTTCATTATTTTCGCCGGTACTCGGTATTTGAAACGGAAAAAATTTGCCGGTCGCGAATGTGCTAAGAGAGAGTACGAGAGAATAAGAGTGAATACGAGAGGATAAGTGATAATAAAAGAGAATACGAGACAATACGAAAAAATAACTGATAATAAGAGAGATTAAGAGAGAATACGAAAGAATAAGAGAGGGAATCCAGGAGGAACAGGAAGAGCGGAAGAAACGCGGAACGAGGAACGCACGGATAGCTGGGTTGAATCAATACGATAAGTGGGCCAGGTGGGGGCGCGCGCCGCGACTCCGGGAACGCGCGGAACGCACCTAACCTCTCTTTCACGCGCCTAACCTCACTTTCACGCACCCGCGGACGCGGAAACCGGGGAACGGGCGCACCGGATCGCCCCAAAGGTGCGGCCGACTTCGCGCGGACCGTTTTATCGGCGCATCGGCGGGCGTTCCGTGCGGTTTCACCCGCGCCCCGTCGGTCCATCTACGGCGATGCCTTTCTTTCTTTTTCGGCAGCTACATTAAGGTTATATGAAAGTGTCATATATATATATACACACAAAAAAATATATATATATGTACAAAATTGACAAAACTTTTCTCCAAACTGGGTGCACCGAATGATTTGAAACCTCAGCACGAGGTTATAAAGGCCCCGAGGAAGAACGCGATGCTCGTGAAATTTCATTCCTCACAAAAAAAAAAAAAATAAAACGTGATCTTGGTTCTTGTCTGGGCTAAATGAAATAATTTTTTGTTGAAAAATAAAATTTCACGAGCATCGCGTTCTTCATTAGGGCCTTCGTAATCACGTGCAGAGGTCTCAAATGATTTGATGCACCCAGGTTGGAGATAAATTTTAAATATTTTGACGTTTTATATATATATATTATCACCCTTTCATATCACCTTAAAAGGCGATGCCAATTTTTTCTTCCTCTCCTGCGAAATTACCGCTTATTGCATTTTGCCGAATTGCAGATTCCTGCAGACCCGCGAAAGGGTTTCGAAACGAGCTAAAGACTCGACGTTTAGTAAGATGCCTGGCAATGTGGGAATATTTTTAAGGATTCGCCGGGTAATCGGATGAACCTGTCTTAAATATCGTTTGCTAAGCGTATTTAATCTGTACGTGCGCCTACATACTCAGATATATTATATATGTATATGTATATAATAATCGACCATCGATACTGGTGAGAACGCCGCGCTCGTCAGCACCCACGTGTATTCGATTTCGCTCTCCATTCTTCTCACCCTTTTCATGTTTTTTTTTTTTTTTTTATACAAGGGTCATTCTGTAGTGTCACATATGTGCCCATAATTATGAAAGTGGTCTAAGTCAAAATTAAAAAAAAACAAATGAGTTTATCAGTTATTTCACGCCATATTATTTCAAACGAAATTAATTCAATGTAATTTCGAAACAAAAAATATATGACTTAGACCACTTTCATAATTATGGGCACATATATGTATAAAATATTTATGGACAAACAATATCGATTTCCCGTTTCCTTGGCAAGATGGCGCAATTTCCAAGGTACAACGGGAATTTTCTCTCGGTCATGAATATCCAGGACCACGTCGAGCTCAGTCGGGAAATTGGTCCGCTCGGCCTTTCTCACCTTTCCTTTCATATCGTTCGACGCTCCCGTGCCCGTCTCCTTTCCTTTGTTTTCCCTTCTGCCACTCCTTTTCTCCACTCCGACTTCTCCGCATTCATCTCGTGTCTCTCATTCGGTGTCATTATTTTCCCTTCCCTCGCGACCGAGTTTTTCCAATGGCTGGGTCGGGCTTTTTAACACGATTTTTTTTTTTTTTTGGATTTCCAGAACCCTGAGAAATTAATTACGTGGGCAGAGATTGAGAGCTCAAGTGGAAGAGGGTATTTTAACATTAAAAGCATATATATTATATATGTATGTATATATATATATGAGAGGTGAAATCGTTGAGGAAAGTATTCCCCTAATTGGGAGTACCGATTCGTTTCAAATCCTACCACGTGAATGGGGTGGCGCTAAAGTAGGTTCTAAGACTCATGAAATTTCATTTTTCCTGAAAAATTTATTTATTTATCGTGGACTGGAAGCAACATGGCGTGGGTCGTGCACGTCCTCGATGTTTTACGCTTTTTGGGGGCTTGGAATCGAAAATGAAGAGTCTCAGGACGTAGATCGAACATTTTGGGATACCGTAGAAATTATATGTAGTGACCCTTTTTCCACAACTTAAGACTGTTTAAATGTGCTCCTAATGTTATTTTTCAATTAATTCTATTTCAGTCAAAATGGCGGACGACGGTGCCAGCGGCAACAGCAGCAGCGGTGAGGCGAGTCGGCTCCAGCTGCTGCAGGAAATGCGCCAGCAGAACTTCGACAGCATCCGGTTTGCGTCCTACAGGACCGCCTGCAAGCTGAGGTTCATCCAGAAGAAGGTCCACCGTGAGTTTCCTATAACAATTTCGTCATTACGACGCGTAAATACACTCGGTCGCCTCGCTCGAGGAGACTATGTTTGCGCTTGCACTTGTCGCGGGACTCAGTCGAGGCGCGCCGACCCGGAGCGTCTGCCTCCCGTTTATCCTCGCCTTATCGCCTCGTTTTTTACAAATTGATTTCAGTGTACAATGTCGACATCTAGAACGCCGTCAAGGTGTTCAGGGCGTTTGCACTTGCACTTGTCGCGAGACTCAGTCGAGGCGCGCCGACCCGGAGCGTCTGCCTTACGTTTATCCTCGCTTTATCGCCTCGTTTTTTACAAATTGATTTCAGTGTACAATATCGACATCTAGAACGCCGTCGAGGCGTTCGGGGAGTTTGCACATGCACTTGTCGCAGGACTCAGTCGAGGCGCGCCGACCCGGAGCGTCTGCCTCACGTTTATCCTCGCCTTATCGCCTCGCTTATACAAATTGATTTCGGTGCACAATGTCAAAATTTGAAACATTAACGAGGCCCTTCATGGAGTTTACACTTACATTTGTCGTGACTCTCAGTCGAGGCGCGCCAACCCGCAGCGTCTGCCTCGCCGTATAGCATTTGTCGCGGGACTCACTCGAGGCGCGCCGACCCGGAGCGTCTGCCTCGCGTTTATCCTCGCCTTATAAAAAACCGATTTCAGTGCACAATATCGACACCTGGAACCCCATCAAAGCCCTTCAAGGAGTTTGCTCTTGCACTTGCCGCAAGGTTCAATCTAAGCGCGCCGACCCGGGGCGTCAGCCTCCTTTTTATTTTCTCTTTATCCTCACCTTATACAAATTGATTTCAGTGCACAATGTCGACATCTGGAACGCCATCGAGGCCTTCCGGGAGAACGGGCTGAACACGCTGGAGCCGTCGAGCACCCTGGGCGTGTCGAGGCTGGAGACGCTGTTGTCGTCGCTCTTCCACGCGCTCAACAAAAGGGTGCCGGTCTCCCAGCAAGCCAAAGTGGACGCCACTACAGCGTTGCTGATGAATTGGCTTCTGGCGGCTTACACCAGTGGGTACGTACCTCAAAGGAAGCCGCCAACCCCCCCAGACCCCCTGGGGCTTCGATCTCCCTTCCGACCACTAGATGCTCATCCCATTCTTCTCCTCCACAGGGAAAACAACAAGATCTCCGTCTTCTCGGTGAAGGTGGCCCTGGCAACCCTCTGCGCGGGCAAGCTCATGGACAAGTTCCGATGTGAGAATTTACTTCATCTCTTCAGGGTCCTCCCGGTGGCTAGAATTATTCCTGCCTCCTCTTTAGACTCTTCGACTCTTAAGGTGGTATGAAAGCGCCGTCTCGAGGGTCTCGTTTATGAAGCTTTTACACTAACTAGACGCACCGAATCGTTTGATATCTTACCACGTGAATGCGGACGCCCTGAGGGAGGTCCTGACACTTGTGAAACTTCAGCTATGTTATAAACAATTTAAAAATTTTTTTGTTTATAAATAAAAATTGAATTTAGAGGTGTTGAAAAACCTTTCCTAGGGCCTCGATGTTCATGTGGTAAGATTTCAAACCATCAAAAAATGTCAACATGTGGTAAGATCTCATAAACGTGATTCATCTTTCAGATGTCACTTTCATGTCCCCTTAAAAGACACTTCCTTTTCACTTGCTGGGTTGCTGGAAAATCCAGCGATTGAGGCTGCGTGGACCTGGAATCCAGTTTGAGGCACAAGCAAAATTAACAGGCTTATTGGAATGTTTCTGCGATGTAGACGTTTGTGCCATTTTTCTTTTTTAAGAAAAACCAGAGCTGTTAAAAAAAAATAAACAAATTTCGATAATGACCATTTTAACGTTTTCGAGGTTTTGGGAGGCTCTGAAATTTCCTAACATCGGAAAATCCAAATTAAAACGACTTGGGAATTTTTTTAAATCTTTTTATCAGCTCTGGTTTTTGTAAGAAGAAAAAAAGCAAGAAACAAAACTCAATACGACACCAAACGTCTACATCGCGGAAGCCTGTTAATTTTGTTTGTTTATGTATATATTTAGATATATTTTAAATTTGTTTGTTACTATTACGGAAGTGAATTTCTTTCCCTTCTTTTGCAGACATTTTCTCGCAAATATCGGACGGCAACGGGCACATGATACACTGGAGGTTCGCCGAGTACTTGAAGGAGGTCCTCGCTCTCACCGCTGCCGTTTACGAGACTCCGTCCTTCGGGTACTCCGAGGGCCTCGCCAACTCGATATTCCCCCCGGTAAGGGTCGCCCTTTGTTCTGCAATCATTAAGGTGAAGTGAAACCCCCCTCAAATCAGTCGATTCGAATACAACACGTTTTTTTTAAGGGTATTGGACCTAACTTTGGCACATGTCTCGTGATCATCTAAGAATTGTCCTGACACATTCAAAATTTTGATTTTTGGAGAAAATTTCTTGACTTAGCCCAGACCAGAACCAAAATGGCGTCGAGCTCTCATATTTCGATCAGTGTACAATTAAGGCTCTGGTATGAGAAACGAAAGGGCCAGGACAATTTTACGATAATTTAGAACGCTCTGGTAATAGATAAACTCGCGTTTGGTAACATTAGCTGGCGCGTCCCGTTACCGACATTTATATTTATCTTGATGACTTTTTACAGTCCACATTGAGAATTATACGAACTGAAGCTTTCCCTATGTCATCTCAGCAAAATAACGATGATCGATGCAGCTGGATTAAATATCGTGGAGTAATTTGATGTTCGATTTTCCCTTCCAGAATTCAAAAGTCACCGTGAACGACTTCCTGGACACCTTGATGTCCGATCCTGGGCCTCATTGTTTGATCTGGCTTCCTCTATACCACAGAATGGCCGCCGTTGAGACTGGTAATTAATCTATTTACTGGTTAATTATTTACGGCCTCTGACAATTTATTGGGTTGGCAACTAAATGATTGCGGATTTTGCCGGTAGATGGTATTAAGGGGATGTGAAAGTGGCATCCGAAAGCTGAATCGTTCATAAAACTTTTCCACTAACTGGGTGTCTCAAATCGTTTCATACTTTAAAACATGAATATCGAGACCCTAAGGTAGGTCCCGAAACTCGAGAAATTTCATTTTTTATAAACTATTTTTAAAATACCTATAAAGAAATTTGAAAAGAATTGAAATTTCATGAGTTTCAGGACCTTCCTTATAGTGTCCCTATTCACGTTGTAAAGTTTTGAAGTATTCGGTAAACCGAGTTGGGAGATAAGTTTTATAAACAAAACCTCTTCGATGCCACTTTCACACCACCTTAAAAAGCCGCAATCACGTAGTTGCCAACCTAATGGTAGCTATTCTTGAAGGACGTTTTAATCTCTTGGGGTTCACTTCAGTGACACATCCGATCGCGTGCGACGCCTGCCACAGGGAGAACTTCACCGGGTTCAGGTATCGCTGTCAAAAGTGTCACTCCTATCAGCTCTGTCAAGATTGCTTCTGGCGAGGCAAGGTCTCAGGAACGCACAACAACGACCATGAGACCAGGGAATACAGCAGCTTTGTATGTACCTTTAATTAGATTTACACTCTCAAGGTGACTATACGCATCACGATAAATCGTTGAGATAAATTTGTGCAGACCTTTCTGCACAGATTTAATTAACGTTTCCTTAGAATTTTTAGCTAAACTTTGTATATAAATTCAATTAGATTTACACTCTCAAGGTGACTATACGGATTACGATAAATCGTTGTGATAAATCCGTGCAGACCTTTCTGAACAGATTTAATTAACGTACACCCGCTACAGAGGAACTCGATTTAATTGCACAGATTACAAATTTCTACGATCTATCGTCATATGTCACGATGAATTGTTTAAAGAATTGTAGATGAACTAGATTTAATTGCATGAAGTACGAATTGCTACGATTTATCGTCATGTGTGACAATCAATAGTTAAAAGAATTAGAATAGAACTAGATTTAATTTCCTAAATTATGAAATACTATGGTTCATTGTCACATGTGACGTTAAATCAATAGGAGAATTATGGAACTCGATTTAATTGTATAAATAGCACTTGTTACGATTTATCGTCACGCGTGTAATCACCTTCAGGTCTTGGAACCTTCTCCTGGCTCAGCTGATCATAAATCCTAAATTGTTGCTCCACCTGTGTACACTCATATATGTACTTGTCTCGAAACTCCACCTCGAATTTCCTGATATCCTAGATATCTAAGTTACCGGTAAGTACAATCCAAACGTATTTACGAACTCTAAGTTATCTATAAATGTCCACAAGCTGTTTATCCGTGTTATCAGTGTTATTCTTGATTCTTGACAGAAGTCGCCGAGCAAGCAGATCGGGCACTCTTTACGTAAGAGCTTCAGATGCGTCCCGGAGAAGGGGAAGAACAGCATCCCAAGATTCCCGGAACAGCCTGAAAAAACCCTCGACTTGTCGCACATAGTGTAAGAAGATCAGTTAATTATATCGAATCGACGTGCCGAGTTGTAACGTTAAGTATTAGGTGCCGTTCGCTCAGGCTCTTACATGTACTTGGCGCGAAACTCTACCGAGTTTCCTTACGAACGATGACACGAGGTAGCGTCTCAAACACGAAGTAGTTATAAGGAGATCTGACGCTATATATTGAAATCGTCCCCACCTTAGGGCTCCAGGATGTCTAGATTTTTCTTTCTTACCTAATGCCGAGAGCGCCTCCACGTTGAAATTCTGCAATTAAAAATTATCCTCTGCTGGCCGGTCTTTATCACATTGAAAATATCATATTCTGTATATCATTCGCGGATTAGCGTCCCGCTTTGCGTACCTTAATAACAAAATTATAAGCATTTTAGGTCATTTACGTCGGTAGGAAATGTCTCGGTCATGTAGAACTGGAAGTTCCCTTATTTCCCGCAAGTGGCGCTCGCGTCGTTGGATGAGAACAAAATCTGAATTTCTGTGGAACCGACCGTAGGCGTTGTCTCCTCGTACGACTTCATGGTCTCAAAGAAGTTTAACGAGGCGTATAATTAGGAAAAAATGAGTATATCCAGAATATAAACTTTCATTTTCGTACGTTTCAGACCGCCGTCCCCGTTGCCGTCTCACAATGGATTTCCAGATCCAGGATTCATGGCGCCCTTCGACTCCGGTTCTATGGACAGCCGGTCCACGTTGAGGAGGTAAACCCGACAGAATGATCTTCTTTAAGGTGATGTGATAGCGGCATCGCAGGGATCAATCGCTGATTACACTTTTCTTCCAACTGGATGCACCGAATGGTTTGCAATTTTACCCTGTGAATACAGAGGCCCTGTAGAAGGTCTCGACGCCCACGAAACTTCATTATTTGCCAGAAAGAAAAAAAAGAATAATAAAAATGTAAAGAGGATTTTGATAAAATTCACATTTCATGAGTATCGGGACCTTCCACAGGGCCTTGTTTCTTCACGGGATGAAGTTTCAAACGATTCGGTAAACCCAGTTCAGAGAAAAGGTGTCTAAATATTTTTACGTCTTGATACATATGTGCTAATGAACTCGGTTCAGCATGGACAGCTCGAGACTGGACGACGAGCACAAACTGATAGCCAGATACGCGCAGAGGTTGGCCCAGGAGGCGAGAACCGTGGTGAGTCTCGACTCTAATTCTGATTTAGTTCCTGAAAAGAGAATTCAGGGTTTTTCTGAAAAATTCAGAAATTCGGTTCGGTTCAATACTCTTAATAAAAAAAAAAGTGTCGCGTTCTGATCGACTGATTTGGCGGCATCGTATCCGCGAAAAAAAGGCATCCATAACTGCTCTGTACATCCGCGACTAGGTCCTTTAAAAAAATGATAATGCCGGAGCTATTCGTGTCGCAGAGTCGTTTCCCTCGGTCGCGCTACCTGATTAAGCCCAATAAAAAACAGGATAAGCATTCCGCTGGTGCAATGCCATTAAACTAATTAAATTTCCCTGAACATCCTACAGCCACGAGCCGCGTCCAGAATATCCCAGGCCGACCAAGCGGTGAGTTCTTCCTTTCGTTCGTCATTCCGAATCGTTTCGGGCGTTTACGGGAATAAATGTTCAACAGTTTCGCGTTAACCCTTTGAGCGCTGTGTACCTGTAAGTGCGTCCGACGTTTGGTCGAATATTGCTTGCCCGCCCTGGCGAAATTCGCCCATACGCTGAAAGGGTTAAGATGATGAAGTGCCGTAAAGAGGTCTCGTTTATGAAACTTTTCTTCGAACTGCGTGTACCGAATCGTTTCAAACTTGGTAATGTGAATATGGAAGCTGTGAAGGAGATCCTGACGCCCGTGAAATTTCAGTTTTTAAGAATTTAATAAAAAATTAAATTTCATAAGTTTCAGGACCTATGTTAGGGCTTCTGAATTCACGTTGTAGAGTTTGAAACGATTCGGTACACCCAATTTGGAGAAAAGTTTCATAAACGAAACCTCTTTGACGACACTTTCACATCACCTTAACCCTTTGAGCGCTGTGTACCTATAAGTGCGTCCGACGTTTGGTCCAATATTGCTTGCCCGTCCTGGCGAAATTCGCCCATACGCCGAAAGGGCTCAGCGCTCAAAAAGTTAAGGTGATATGAAAGTGGCTGCACAGAGGTGTCATTTATGAAACTTTTGCTCAAACTGTGTGTACCGAGTCGGCTTAAATTTTACAATTGAACATTTTACGTCGTATTACTTTCTCTCCTTGCTTAAGAATATATATACATTAATTAATAATAAAAAAATATATATATACACATCGGCTTACAGAGCGTTAAATGTGGATTTTCATTTTCGGTGTGTGAGTAATCGTTGCTTTTTTTATACAGGGAAGAACTCCTTCGGACGCCAATTTGGCCTCTCTGGATGCATCGAGGGCGCAACGAGAACTCATCTCGCAGCTCGAGGCGAAAAATAAGGAGATTATGCGAGAGATAGCAAGGTTAAGGTATACCCGTATCGTTTGACTTCCTATATGTCAAGCCTAAACCTCGTCGTCATCCTGTCGAACCATCTCCTAGAGTCACGCATGTTCGAAGACTTTTGATTTTCGCTTTGTGTCCCCTTGGTTGCATAGAAGGGAAGGTAGATTAGTGAAGGTGCAGCCACAGTCTAAAACACAAAGCCCAAGATAGATCAGTTGTTATATTAAATCTAGATGTTAAAAAGTAAAGAACGCGAGATGTGTAATTGGCGCGAGACTCTACCGAATTTCTTTACCACTGGAGACCCTATGTCGATGTTAAAGGATCAGTTGAACTCGCTGGAGGAACTTTTTCCCAATTTTTCCTTGAATCTCAGGTTTAGAAAAACCAGGTTTAATCAAGGTGATGTGAAACACGTCGAGGTACTTGATCGACGTCGGTAAAAATTATTTCTCTAAATACCTACGTTGCCGACGTTCGTTTTTATAGTGGCAGCTGGGTCGAATTATATTGGGTATTGTACTAAATGGCATTCTCCAACTCTTGTTTTCGCAGAATAATTATTAAGAAATCGAAGTGAAACTAGAAATCCTCTAGATTCATGCTTTCTGGGGCCCTGATCGACTGCAGAGGGACTCCCTGCGCCATCTGTGATTTTCATGTCGACTAAATTTTCACTCCGAGACCTTGTATTACCATCATTTTAGCCGAACACCGCATAAGACACGTTTTTTTGCCTTTATCTCGTTCAAATGCGAGTTTATCGATTACCAGAGTGTTCTAAATTCTCGTACAATTGTCCTGACGTTTTCGTTTCTCGTATTAGAGCCTCAATGATTGGATATCGATCGAAATATGAGAGCTCAAAGCCATTTTGGTTCCGGTCTGGGCTAAGTTAAACAATTTTTATTAAAAATCCGAATTTTGAAAGTGTCAGGGTAATTCTCACGTGTCAATGTTTTAAACAGTTCTATTCAATACCCTTAAAAAAAGCGTCTTATTCGAGTCGACTGATTTGAGAGGGGTTTCACTTCACCTTAATCAATTCCTTTGAACCTATTGATATAGAGAGAGATCTATAAACGAGGGTGGAAATGAATAATAAACCGAGATTGGAAATACGCGGGGAAAGGATTGACTGGAACGTTCAAACAAAGAACCTCGGTCGAGCTCGCGGAAATGCACTTGGCGAAGAACTCTGCCGAGATTCTCGATTTCGTTTTTAGACTGTGGGTGATCGAGGAAATTGATTTACATGGACACTACAGAGCGTACACTAGATTTGAAGCATGGACTTTTTTTTTAAATGTTTTAATAAGTCCGCCTGAATCGACATATAAATCTCTATATACATGAATAATTACTCTCGTAAATGTAATAATAACCAGGAATATGTGTGATCTTTTTTTTCACGTTCTCTGAAGTTCGAATACTTCTTTACTTAATGCCTTTAACCGAAACAATGGGGAGCAAGCAGGAGGGCAATGGCACCTGTTGCTCTAATTAATATATTGTTCTTCCGAGCCCATTATTTGCTCATTAGGGTCACTACATACACACCTCACACATACATTACGGCTTATCATGAAAATTGTTGGGCACAGAAGATGCCTCGATAGAAGACTCTTCGATGTCTGTTTGAGGATTCTTCAGTGCCTTTCATTGGCCTCGAGAATGTCTAATTGCAATGTCTAATCTCTTCATCAGGAGGCAGCAAGAGATCGAGGCGGCTGGTCTTGAGAATCCTGCCTTGATGTCAGAATTGAGAGCCCTTCGACAGAGGAAGGATGAGCTGGAGACACATCTAGCTACTCTGCAGGACTCGAGGAGACAATTGATGGTCCAACTCGAAGGTCTTATGAAGATGTTGAAGGTAATCATTCCTGACGAACAAAATATTCAAAGCCATTTGAAGTGAACTCCTCGCCGTTACAATATCTCTTCTTAACTCTTATTAGTTTTTCCCGTGTTTTTCAAATTTTTAGGTTACTGCCGATCACTACTGCTCTGCGAAAAGAATAATTGACACTGAATAAGGATATCAAGCAATTCTCATTAACCTAAAAGTTTCAGATTCAGCGCGCATAACAGATTTCTTTTTCTTTTGGAAACCGTAAAGAATATCGAATCGGTGAGCCAAATTTTGGCGTTAAGTATTGCTCATTCGGTAATGAGATTTAATACCGAAACTGAACTGGCATTAAAAGCTGAACGGCTTAATTCCATTTCCTACTGAAATAATAGGACAGATACTAAAATAACAGTACGGTTGGCATCACTGATTTGAGGTTATGACGTTTCTTTCGCGCAGAACCACCAGGCGTCCCCACGGTCCACGCCGAACAGCTCGCCACGTAGTACGAAGTCCCCGCCGCTGCCGCCAGGGGCGCTGTCGAGCAGCCGATCGGCGCCACCTACGCCGGGAGGACCTTTGTCGACAACGCCCCAGCAACAACAACAACAGCAACAGAGTCAGCAACAGATGTCGCAGAGCTATCAGAGCCCGGTGCCGCCGACCTCCGTAGCCGCCAACATGGCCGGTAACGCGATGCTCGGGACGATACAGAATCCCGTTCCTGATAGCCTCTCCTGCGTCGGCGGTGACGTCAGGTAGGCCGGCATGTACGAATCTCCCGCTTCCCCTGTACAAGAAATTCACCTGTCGGGGATTAATTGTCGAACCTTGATACGTCTGTCCGAAATCGAGCGCAAAGTTATCCACAGTGGGGTCTTCGGGGCCTTCCATGCTCTCCGGGGAACAGTCTTCATCGGTTCTCTTATGATTTTGAGGTTAACCCTAGAACATCCGGCAGCGGTTGAAATCAATTTTTGCTTTTCAGTACCACTGTACTGTGTTGGATTCAATACAGCACTTCTTTTGTGTAATTCCATGCTCTCCGCAGAACTGTCTTCGTCGTTTCTCTTATGATTTTGAGGTTAACCCTAGAACGTCCAGCAGCGGTTGAAATCAAATTCACCATTTCTGCTTTTTAGTACCCCTGTACTTAACTGAATTCAATACAGCTCTTCTTTTCTCTAATTCAATCCCAAACGTTTTAGTTAGTTTAATTAGTTTAGTTTTAATATTCCTGCCTTCCTCGATTTTCACATCGTTCACTGCCATTGGGTTCAAAGTGACTCATGTCAATGACACGTGGAGTTAATATCACGGCTAATTCGTATTCATATAATTAATGGGTCATTAAAAACAGAAAAGAAGTGTACAAAAAAATTACAATGAAAATGAATAAGAAAAAATGCAAACTCGAGGTCCTATAACAGAACAGAAACCTTTGTTCCTCTTTATTGAGATATTTTCTAATTTTATGACTTTTACATGGTTCAGTTTCATTTCTTTTTGTTAAATTATGAACATTTTATCTCAGAATTGGAAAACATTTCAATAAATAATAAAGTAAAGGGCTACTGAAAAGCAATATCAATGAATTGATCATTGTAGCGTTAATCTTCGATAACTAAACATTTGAAATATAATATTCACCGATTTTTCCAAATAGTTATCTAGGATTAATATGCATCCATCCAAATGGCTCGTTGACAGATCTTCATATCGGTCTCAAGTATCGGTGGAATAGTATTTGTTAAATCATAACCTCAAAGTCCTTGGAAGGCCCTGCGTAACCTAAACTTATGGACCACGGACTGGTTGATCATTCCTAATTGTTGAGTCAGCACATTTGTGGACTAACCGGAAACTATTAGTACAAAGTTTACCCTGAGCATGTATCTGGACGATGATAACACCCAACTTGCAGCTTGCTCACACTTCGGTGCGCAGCAAGTCAGAATTCTGTAGATAGACTCGTGTGGCTGTAGCTTATGATTTAGTGTTAAAGTAATTCCTCGGCTGACCCTAGATCCAGAAAAAGATGACAAAGACAATGGACTCACGCCGTTGTCGCGAAATTGACTCCAAGAAACATTCCCCCTCGTTTGCTTCGTTATGCTGTAACGCTTCTAGACGGTAGCCTGTATGTTCCCGTAGTCATTGTTACTTTTAACTCACCGTTTATCCTTAGTTCGCCGCGCCGGACTCTAAGTTTAGTTGTTATTCGTTTGGTTTTACGCGGCAGTTCCTGTTTTTAGTCTTATAGCGGGTTAACTTAGTCTTAGAGGTGGACGCGTCAGGTATAGAGACTCGGTCGCGTCTCGGCTTGACTTGGCGCGAAACTCAGCCAAAACACTTAAGGTGAAGTGAAACCCTTCTCAAATCAGTAGATTAGATGACACACTTTTTTTTAAGGCTATTTGATAAAACTGTCCAAAACATTAATACTATAATAATAATATACTAATATACCTAGGAATTGTCCTGACACTTTGAAAATTACGATTTTCGAAACTAATTGTTCAACTTAGCTCAGACCAGAACCAAAATGCCGTCGAGCTCTCACATTTCGGTCGATATACAATTATTAAAGGCTCTCATATGAGAAATGAAAATGTCAGAACAATTGCACGACAATTTAGAACACTCTGGTAATCGAGAAACTCGCATTTAAACGGGATAAAGTCGAAAAAACAAGTGTCTTATTCGCTTCTGTGCTAAAACGAAGGTAATACGAGGTCTCGGAGTGAAAATTTAGTTGACTCGGAAATCACAGATGGCGCGAGGGTCAATTAGGGCATCAAAAACCAAGAATCCAGGGGATTTTTGGAGTTTTACTTAGATTTCTTTATAATTATTGTACGGAAACGACATGTGGAGTATGTCATTTAGCACAATATACAATATAATTTAATACGGCTGTCGAAATAAATACGAACGTCGGCAACGTAGGTATTTAGAAGAATCCTTTTTACCGATATCGATCCAGTTTCTCGGCTTCTTTCACTTCACCTTAACGAATGGGTAGATTTGTTCGGGTTAGCTGCACTTTCTGTACCCGAGGGTAAAATTTACAATTAAGTGCATTACATTTCTTTATGAGGATACAAAAATGCTCATAAACTTCGACTGGCTAAAAGCTGCGAAAAAAAAAAACAAACAAGATGGCCGAATTATTGGCACGTGCGATTTATCGCGAGAGAGCATTTAATAGCTAGACTTTTACAATAATCATTCGCGAATGATTGATCTCCAAAAGTGACTTACAATTTATCAATAACGGAGTAATTATAGTTTTATGAATTTTAATTAGATTAATATCATAGTTTGGTGAAATGTTAGTTCACCGTATGTTTACACGCTCGATTGACGTTTAACGGCGAATGTAATTTCTTATGTTAATTGCTCGAGAATAAGTTAAAGGTGGCTCAACTTTTGCACTATTTTTTTAGTGGAAATAAGCAGCTAACACGAACAAATCTGTAACAAGGACTCTTATAATTGTTCCCGGCATAACGTCGTACTAGTGCTTCCATTAACGTTACTTCCATCCGATTGCGGGCACCGTTTTATTTTAGCACAGAATTAGCAAACAATGGATTATTATTATTATTAATTAGCCTAGAGTCGCCATCCTTTAGGAACGGCTTCGAACTTAAAGTAGGGGAAGCACTCTTCGCAGAGGATCCAAACCATTATTCTTGTTACACACCTCATCGAGGCAGAATAATTCTTTCCTATGTTAGCGTAGACTGTTAAGTTTCATCGAACCTAGATATATAATCTATCTTGCTGTCGGTTTAGACCCATCGAAGCAGATAACTTCCCTCCGATGAGATTTCAATGAACTTCACTCCGCAGCGAAGTATCATGGGCACGATATATTTTAACTTAATTCCTAATTCATCGAACCTAGATATATAATCTATCTTGCTGTCGCTTTGGATCCATCGAAGCAGAAAACTTTCCTACGATGAGATTTCAATGAACTTCACTCCGCAGCGATGTATCATGGGCAGGATTTATTTTAACTTAATTCCTACCTTAAGTTATTAATTTTATATCTAACGAGGTGTAATACATCCTCTGCGTGATTCATTGTCTGTTTGGTTGTACCTAGCATGCGCCACGTGAACGTTTGATCATACTTGCTCCTGCGTTTCCTCCCCCTCGACATATAAATTATTATTTCCCGGAGGAATAAATTTATTTCATCACATGGCTGGCAATCGCATCCGCGAAGTGGGTTTTATTTTCGTTCGTTATCTCTTTTGTTATCCTCGCAGGAATATCCCTGATCTATGTACACTTAGGTCCTTACTCATATCTCACTTTTAGCTTAGCTTTTAAACGTCTATTAGTTAAGGGGATGTGAAAGTGAGAAACATTTTGGATGTGAATGTGAAAAACATTTCAACGAACTGGGTATCTCAAATCGTTTCATACTTTAAAACGTGAATATGGAGACCCTAAGGTAGGTCCCGAAACTCGCGAAATTTCATTTTTTATAAACTATTTTTAAAATACCTATAAACAAATTTCAAAAGAATTGAAATTTCATGAGTTTCAGGACCTTCCTTATAGTCTTCCTATTCACGTTGTATAGTTTCAAACTATTGGGGAAACCGAGTTGGGAGAAAAGTTTTATAAACAAAACCTCTTCGACGCCACTTTCACATCACCTTAATGATCGGATCGGATACAATGCTTTAAAATATTTCTTTTAACACTAAAAAAATGAGATATGAGTATATAAATCGGTGAATCTCCAAAACCTTCCCGAAGAACCATGTCATCGATTTTTTTTTTTTCCACGTTTACGTTCCAAGGCTTTCGACTAAAGGTTCTTGTCGCGAAACGCATGCAGTGCACCTTGTTGTCTTTGGTTGTCGCGAGAACAATGCTCTAAAATACGTCTTTTAACGCTAAAAATGAAATATGAGTAAGGACTAATATATACAGATCAGTGAATCTCCAAAATCTTCCCGAAAAATTATGCAATCGTTTTTTCACGTTTACGTTCCGAGGCTTCCGAGTAAACGTTCTTGTCGCGAAACGCATGCAGTGCACCTTTGTTGTCTTTGGGTGGCGCGAAAAAACCGAGAATTTTCGCTGCCAGGTCTGCGTTCAGGACGAACAGCTTGCCAGGAAGTGGCTCCAGCAGCGCCAACAATAGCTTGGGCCGTTCCCTCAGGAACGACCTGTTGGTCGCCGCCGACAGCGTCACCAACGCCATGTCGACCCTCGTCCGGGAGTTAAACTCAGGTACGTCCGACTAAACTCGGATTACGAGCCAACTCTTTCGCACACACGAGGAATGATCGACTTTTAATCACCAAAGCCGCGGCTTTGGAGACCTAGACCTTAGCCTTATAAGTATATATTGGAATAAACAGTCGAGATTTTAAGGTTATGTGAGAGTGACGAGAAGAGGTCTCGTTTGTGAAACTTTTCTCCTAACTGAGGGTACCGAATCGTTTCAAACTTGACAATATCAATATGGAAGCTATAAAGAAGGTCCCGACACCCATAGAATATTAATTCTTTAAAAATTTACGGTTTCAAAATTTTTTTTGTATGAAAAATGAAATTTCCCGAGTTTCAGAACCTAGCTTAGACTCTCTATATTCACGTTGTAAAGCTCGAAACGATTCGGTACACCGGTTGGAAGTAAAGTTTCATGAACAATTGCGCTTTCGGATGCCACTTTCGCATCCTCTTAAGATATGATGAACAACGAAGCCTATTACAATATACGGAGTGAGTCGTATGCTTGGAGTAAAGAGACACGGCGTTCAGTCGAGGTCCGTGAACTTGTCGGAAACGCAACTTCACGATTTCACACATCCAACGAGAAATGCTCAATTTTTCCGTAACTCGTAAAAACATACGTCTACAGGGTGAGTCTTATGGAAGGTTTAAGGTGATATGAAAGTGTGATATATACACAACAAAAAGTGAAAATATTTATAACACTTTTCTCCAAACTGGCTGCACCGAATTATCTGAAACTTTAACACGTGATTATGGAGGCCCTAAAGTAGGTCCTAAAACTGGTGAAATTTCGTTTTTCATTAAAGATTTATTTACTTATCATGAACTGGAACCAACATGGCGGGGTCCGGGCACGTTTTCGATGTTCTACGCTTCTTGGAGGCTTAGAATCGAAAATTAAGAGTTTCGGGACCTAGCTCGAACAATTTAGAATACCGTAGAAATGTAATATTACAGAGGCAGATGGGATAATGTGGTAAATACTTTTACTAACGATTGCAAGAGAATGCTGGCTTGTCCCGCGGCTAATGTGTTCTTAGAGGAAAAATTTAGTTGCAGCCGAACGTCACAGATGGCGACGTTGGTTCGTCAAGATATAAACAGTCACGAATTCACGGGATTTCGGCAGTTTTACGTCGATCTTTTTATCATTACTTTACCGATATGACATATAGAACCCTTCAGTTCGTATAATTCTCAACGTAGACTGTAAAAAACTTCGGCATAAATATAAATGTCGGTAACGGGACGCGCCAGCCTATGTTACCACTTGAGTATTCTAAACGGCATTCCCACCAAAAAGGGTATAGATGAATTTCACTCTATCGACGTCGATTAAATTTCTTAGCGCCTTTCATATCCTCTTAAAGAGTGGACGTGCCCTTACGGCAGTACCCCACCTCATTTGGAGTTCTCATAAGACTCACCCTGTATATATATATAAAGAAAAGATATGAAAGAGGAGCCTCGTGTAGAGTAATTATTATTTTAATCCCAAAGAGAGTCTCCAGGGTCCTTTTCTCGATTTCTCCGACCTCGCATATTCCACTCGTAGAGCACGTAGGGATTCTTCTTATAGATGAGAGCATAGAAGGAATGCCTGAAAGCAGAAGTTAAGATTACGTCCCGACAAGTTAGAGAGATTAGATATTTTTTTTTTATATATATACAGAGACACGCAATGCCTGTTCGTGTTTTTCCTGTTAAGTTTCATCGAACCTAGATATATAATCTATCTTGCTGTCGCTTTGGATCCATCGAAGCAGAAAACTTTCCTACGATGAGATTTCAATGAACTTCACTCCGCAGCGATGTATCATGGGCAGGATTTATTTTAACTTAATTCCTACCTTAAGTTATTAATTTTATATCTAACGAGGTGTAATACATCCTCTGCGTGATTCATTGTCTGTTTGGTTGTACCTAGCATGCGCCACGTGAACGTTTGATCATACTTGCTCCTGCGTTTCCTCCCCCTCGACATATAAATTATTATTTCCCGGAGGAATAAATTTATTTCATCACATGGCTGGCAATCGCATCCGCGAAGTGGGTTTTATTTTCGTTCGTTATCTCTTTTGTTATCCTCGCAGGAATATCCCTGATCTATGTACACTTAGGTCCTTACTCATATCTCACTTTTAGCTTAGCTTTTAAACGTCTATTAGTTAAGGGGATGTGAAAGTGAGAAACATTTTGGATGTGAATGTGAAAAACATTTCAACGAACTGGGTATCTCAAATCGTTTCATACTTTAAAACGTGAATATGGAGACCCTAAGGTAGGTCCCGAAACTCGCGAAATTTCATTTTTTATAAACTATTTTTAAAATACCTATAAACAAATTTCAAAAGAATTGAAATTTCATGAGTTTCAGGACCTTCCTTATAGTCTTCCTATTCACGTTGTATAGTTTCAAACTATTGGGGAAACCGAGTTGGGAGAAAAGTTTTATAAACAAAACCTCTTCGACGCCACTTTCACATCACC